TTGAAAGCAATATGTTTGTAAAAATATAAACGTACTCTTTTACTCTGTTCAGGTCCCCCTATACAAGCCATTTAAATTTATAATATTAGGTATTTTTAATAATTTATACAATTTTTTACGTGTTCCGCAGCGTTTTTAGGAAAAATTAAAATGGCAACGGTGCATAATTAAGTACTATAAAACGATATCAATATGTACGCGATAGCAGTTAAAAGTATATAAAATGTTAATTAATCTGACCGTGTAATGTTGCAGTCATAAATAGTTCATAGAATCACATTTTCAAGTCGTAAATAAAAATATTCCAAAGTACATAATCGTGTACAAATGGATTTATTACCCGATAACACGTAGCTAAATAATTTAAAAAGTATGACTTAATCTGGAAAATTTACATTTACATTTCACGGAAAAATAAACGATATAAAAAACAATCAACTCCGACTCGATTCTTCCGTTCGTCGATTCAACTAAATATTCCAGTTAAAAATACGTGTAATCTGTACACATCAACCGTTTGCATTTGACAATCGTTTTGCTCGAAAACTTCGAGTACACACGATGATATTATATTATATTATATTATTATGATTAAATTTTCGTGAAATCGTTAAATTATAAATGATTAACATCATTGCAAACATTAAACTATATAATATATATTTTATATTTAATATCGACAATATCTCGAAATACTAATTGCTTTTTTTAACATATTACTTGGTTTTTTTCCTGCCACTTAGTTTTAGTTGAATATGTAATGCAAGTAGTTTTTCAAAACCATGATTATTATTCGTAGATTTTTTGACTGTACGTTTTTATTTCCTTCACTATTTTTTTAACTTTGTTAAGGGGGTTAGAGGGCAGTAATAATGGAAAATTAAAAATTAAAACGACAAAAAATGATAGCCATTGAGTCAATGATACGATTAAATTTTTTTCTCGGCTACATTTTCCTTTCATAAAAAATCATAACTAATCCTAAGTGACCGTTTCTATCTGTTGTTAACCATTAATTATATATTAATATAAAAATTATATTATATTCTATAACTTGAACTTGTATTTAAATATTATAAAATAATATAATTTGAATATTACCTTAAATATTCATCTTTTTTTTTTTTTTACAAATTCGTGTACTCCATATCATCACATAATTTTTATTTTAATTAAAATATAATTTTGCGTACGCTCAATGATTAATCAAATGAAAAATTAATAGACAGTTATTGTTAATTAATTCTGATGTGTGCCAGCGAACGATAAAACTAATATATTTGCAATATAAAATCGAATTGTTGAAGTTGAATAAATTACCATATGTATATTGAAATTAATTTTATTTAATATGCGTAAAAAGATTATAAATACGAAAGTAAGTTTGCATTCGATTGCAAAAAAAAAAATTGAAGAATACTTCACGTTTTTATCAATAATTTGCTGTTTACATCCAAAATAATGCCATCGTAAATGTTATGGTGGTTTAACCATTTCCGATAAGATATGTGTACAAAACATTTTCAATGAATCAAACACCATGGTGTGACTACTAAAACGTGAGTTGAATCAGTATAGCGCCTTAATTTTTGATAAGAAATCTAAAACCGTTACATCGCGGCGTTATTATATTTTCTTCGGGAAATCGTTCGTAAACCCTTATCGCTTTCATAAAATATTGTAGTTGCTTAGTTATGTTTTTCGTTTAAAGAGGGAAGGAAAAAATTGCCATGCCGTCGCCTTGTTCCCTTCGTCCCCTCGTCACCGTTGTAAATCACATACAGACTTACATATATGTACATATACATTGGTTCCTATAGTATTTTTGTTTTTTACAAATCGTATAATTTTACGAGTTTCTCTTTTCCTCTCGATTCGGCGTGACGTGATTTGGAGGGTAGTTAGAGGTACCTGGTGTATGTATATGTGTTTCGGTTTGTTTGTTTGTGTGTGTAGGTATAATCGGACTCCAAACGAGAGTAGGTTTGTGACATGCAATGGAAAAACGACACGCAAGGCATAGCCTATAAAGTATAGTAGAACTATTTCCTTATCCCATGTTACATTATATTATTATTATTATTATTATTATTACTATGCACGATATGATATTGCTCAAAAACTGTAACATTATGTACACGTTTGTATATAGATGTATTTTTTTACCTTCAAACTCATACCAAGTACGATTTATAATCCATAAATTGTATCATGTATAATCACTTCAAACCATGTTTATGGATCGGTTTGAGTTATGCACGCATTCAACGCTGACGTAAATTATACAAACAGTTTGTATGTGTGTGTGTGTGTGTGTGTGTACATCATATTAGTTTATTTGTTTGTGTTCAAGTTTAATCGTATTGAAATGTATTCAGGATAGAATCGAATATTTTGACCCATTTTTTTTTTTTTACATTCTACTTTACTTATATTTAAGACGAATTATTAGAATTTATCACGATTCAAATGATGAACGGACATATATAATGTAGAAATAAAACTATAATGGTTCTATAATTGGAAAGAGTTCGTTTCGTTTTCACCGCTAAACTATGCTAAATGTTTAAAAATAAAATTACAGTTTATCCATAAATTTTATAACACAGTTGTTTTCAAAAGTTTTTCGGAAGGATCGATTAGGTGACATTAAAATTATGAGTCCCAGATGTACCGCATTTCATATTAGTAAAGCCATTATACAAAGTACCTTCTGCAATGAAGCCGTCAAAAAATTTGTTGTAAAACTGTACAAAGAACGTAGTTTACTGGAATAAATAAAAAAAACTTTGTTATCCGATTTTATTGCATTTTAAATAATTTAACGCCATTATATGTTAGTTTAAAATTATTCAATCTATTTTTTAATTTTAAATTACTTCTGAAAAAGAGTTTATTTTCTCAAAGAATCACTATCATCAAGCTAAAATTTGCAACTACGAATAAATAATCAGCACTCATTATTAATTTACAAATATCAATATTTTGTTTTATTAATATTTATGTGTAATAGCATTTGGTATCGATTCGAATTACAAATCAGTTAAATAATTTGCTAAAAATATCTTAGAATCAATATACTCCATACTTACAACTATACACGAATCTCAGAGTATTTCTGGGGCGAAAATAACGAAAATAACGCTGCAAAATGGTCTTATTAATAATTCCACGTTTAATTCAAAGGATTTTAAAAGTTTATGCCAAGACGGGGGTAATTAAAAAACAATAGAAATTATAATAGGTTTCACCCCTGAAAAAATTTCCAGTAAACTCCGAAGAAACGTGAAGTTTAATTTATTCGGTCTTATGATAAAGGACTAGCGGTGAAGGACAATAGCGAATAACTAGCGGTGAAAATGAAGACTTGTTTTTCTCCTTGAAATTACCAACACAAAGAGAATCATTACGAGTGAGAATTTACAAGACTTCGAAGTATTTTCACTCTGAACCGTAGCCCAAGTGGCATACCTTAGAAAACTGCAGACGAAACCCTTCGTGGTGTCTTCTAAATGTTTACCTTGATGTGTTTGATGACGTTCCTGATGCCTACAACTTTTCAAAGTTGTAATTTCCACAGCATAGTTTACCTCGGACATTTCTGCTATAATCAAAGTTCTTTATACACTATGTATACATTACATAAATGTAGTTTAACTCAAACAAAAATCTTAATTAGCCAAACAAACTGTGAATTATAATTATTGAAATACATAAATAATTTGTTAATCAAAATCTTTCTCCCATTTTTCATTGGGAATATTTTTGTTGATTATTTAGCAAAAAATATTATTTTAGTAATACTATAAATCATTTATGTATTATCAAACTATTTAATTGTTAAACTATACTGAAATAATAAACATTTTCATTTATTTTATTTCGACAAGTTTTTAAAATCTCTTAATTCTTATCAAAGTATGATAAAAGTTATCACGAATAAAATTGTTTAAGATATGCACTGAACCGTTCAATTTTATAATTTATTTCAGCAGACTAACCAAAATTTATAAATATTGAAATAATAATGTTCTCTTATAAGGATATATTAAAATATTTTATCGAATTTATATAGTAGGAGAACTACAAAATAAATTATAGATTATCATATTGAAAATAGTTATTATCTATTAATTTACGTTGTATATATTTTATTGGTTTCTCGTTTCTCAACTTGTAAATATATTTTTATATTATACTATAAAGTCTCGAAGAACAATGACCTATATAAAAAAACTTAAATAAATATCTTAGCGTTAAGTAGACCATTAAATTTATGATTTTTATTGTCGTTAAATCTTTTGCTCCCTCTGGGTAGTTTTTTAAATAGAAAAAATTATTTTAACGATCATTTATTCAACGTTATTTGATAACAAAATATTAATATTGTATTGTTTAAAAGTTGATTGAAAATTAAAATGTATGAATAATACTAGATATTCTCTGAAAAATATAATAATAAATAACCTTAATAAAATTAAATTATGCATCATAATATATTTTATGATTAGGTATTCAAAAATTTCAAATTATAATACTATTATATTTGTTTTTTAATTTATTTGATTTATTAAACTCGCATAAAATTTGGTTTTATCGTATAAAATATGGAACATAAACTTTGTGAACCATACGAAACTTAATAAACTTCAAACGACATTTCTATCGATCTATGGATTAGATACTAAATTATAATCATAATAGTTTATATTAATTTTTTTAAAATCACCTGATTCTTATTTACTTGTTGTTGTGTACACAATGAAATTTTCAAATTATTATACGAATATTATTCTCACAAACTTCCGCCCTTTGGGTTGGACCAATACTAGAATTCTATAGTTATTTACGGTGTTAACAAAATCGAATATATTTTTCCTAGACTGTTATTCTTACAAGTCATGTGGAAGTTTCGTGTAGTCTTTTCAGGCATATAATTTGTAAAAAAAACATATACACAAATATGTTTAAGCACTAACGGTTATTTCTTTATTTTATAGAAGAATGTGACGAAGCACTGGGTATGGAATCTGGTGCAATTCCGGATTCAGCGATCACAGCAAGTTCGTCGTATAATGTTCCCAATGTCGGACCGAGCAATGGAAGGTAAGACCACGAAGTTTTTTTTTCACCTTCCCATACTTTTTCGTAGTTCAGATAAATGTGAAAGTAACGAAGTAAAATTGCAAACTTCTAATAAAAATATACCAATTTTCGAGAATCCAATTAAATGATTTTGTTTAAAAATTTGTTTGATTTTACAGCGGTAAAAACAAATAGCCATTAGATAAAAAAACAACATGAGATTTACAACTTTGGAAAATAGTTTTTGTTTGCATTCAATGTAGAAAATGAAAATCTAATATCAATACTATTCCCCAGCCCTTAATGGACATTTATTTTATTCGTATAAGTATATTATGATCAATATACAAAAGTTAATAACCACGAAATTATTATATTTAAATTATTAATTTTTTTACGCACTTTTTAACTTATTTTGTTGATAAAGTCAGTCATATAAATCTACACCTTCATATTTATGAACCCAAACAAAATAATTTATCGAAGGTATTCTGGTATTAGATTTATCATTTCGAGACTCTTTGGAATGAATGATTAAATACATATTTGTATTCCGAAAACGAAATCGCAGTACCGTGTCCTCTTGGTAAAATAATCTTTTATTTATTGTATTCGTTATCGTGACTGTTTAAAACCATCCTTAATTTACCAACTACACACGTTTCTCACAATCTCTTATCATTATACTTTTATGGTACGGTGTCCTATTTTTTTTTTTCGCATTCAAAATCCGATTAGGTTTAATTATTATTTTACGTGGTTCCCACGTTTTATTTCAATTCATCAATAATACAATTCAGTATTCCATTAGAACATGACAATGTGCATTAATTCGTACGCCGGTTTGAATTATAATAAAAATGCGTTGATAAAAGAAAAAAAACCGTTAAATAATTGAAACATATTTATTATGATTCATAATCGAAGAATTTTTTTTTTCAACAACCGGTTATTTTAGAAACTCATCTAAAAAGAAATTATATAAATGTGAATAGTTTATTGATTATTTTTGAAAATAATTCCGGTAAACAGCTTTTAATAAGACATTTAAACAGTACAGTGACGCGTACTTGAGTTCTGCGGGGGATTATGATCATAACGGTACATTCAACAAGGGTAATCCGCAAAAATCGAAACAAATCAACGAAAACAATACATAATGTAATAGTCGTGTCAAATGATTCGTGTCGATCTCGCGTTGTCTTCGTGTTGACGAAATGAAATTCGTAAAGTCAAGGTGATTTTGATAACATCGATTATCAGGCGTACGTCGTTTGACACGCATGCGCGCAACATTATACGCGTGTGACGATTATAGTGAGGCTGGCGCGTGTGCAAATGGTTTTACTCTCGTGGCAAAAACGGCTAAAACGCATTATTATTAGACGTGGATCGTGTCGGCGCAACGCGAGTTTCGTTGGATCGGTTCATTCGTGAGACTGAAACGGGGGCGCGTAGGTAATATTGATGGCCTTTTTCCCACTACACTTACCAATATAAGTGTTTTAAAATTGGTACAATGTATGTATAATTATGTATTGTACGATATAAGTATAAAAAAAAAAAAAAAACTAGAAAGTATAAGATACACTACTACACAATGTTTACGTTCTTGTTTTGTTGTGGCTAATGAACATTTCAGACGGCATCGGTCATGACCAAACGCGTTTAAAGCGAAATTATTCTGTTTCGACTACGTCGGTGCGAGTGCGCAACATAGTTCTCCATGCTCCGTGTTCAACAAAACTGTGTTAGTCTGACCAACGGTGTTCAAAAGGGTTTTGCTCTTTTTTAGACAGACCTTACGCGTGCGCGACGTAATAATGTATTCACGGGTCCTGGCGCGCGCCGTTCGGCTAGTACACGTTGTCCATCGAGTGCTCGAGGCGATTGCCACTCCCGTTGATTCGACTCGTCCCTGTCGCGTATACAACGTCGGGGCACGAGCAACACTCGCGTGTAATTACGCAAACCGTTAATATTTTATCCGATTAATTGTGCACGCGACGGGAGAACGTCGCGTGCGCGTACCACACATATCTCATCCGAGTCGTGTTCGCCGTTGGCTTTTAGCGCCGACCACAGGTGTCCAACGCGAATGAATGTACATCGCGGGATCCGTGCGGCGGCGTCCGGTGAAATTAATCGTTGTCAGCGAATGCGGAAGTGTCGTAGACGTGACTGCCATTAGCGACAGCGGATGTGCGGGTAACGACGAACGGTCACGGACGAAACGGACGATTGTGTTTCGTCGGAAAAGGATGAAACAATATTATTCCATTTCGGCACGATAACATTCCGGCGCATGTTCAAGATCTTCGAGCTTAGTCTCGGCGCACTCGATGGTGCCCTCGTGCGATTTTCTGTGTACAGTCAAACATACAACTTGACAAACATGACGGTTGTCCGAAAAGAAATTCCGAAAAAAAACGAACGATTTCATCCCAAAAAATCGTTTTTATCGTACGAAATATTATTTAATAATTTGCATAATCCTTTTCTTATATAGAACTACTGATACGATTAAAAAGGAGGGACTTTTTTCCCCCAGATAATTCTTCAATTTAAAACATAGTTAAATATTTAACGAGTATAGTTAGTAGATAGTTATCGAGCCGAATTTTGCAATACGAACATTTTACAAATTGTAGTTGAATATGTGTGGCGTCAAATGTATTCGTTATAATATTAATACATTTTGAACTTAAACATTTTTTATGATAGTCAAAGAATATTTATTGATATAAAATCACTCCTATTTTACATTGCACTCTCTCCGAGTAAAACCGAGAACGTCTTACAATTTGTAAATAATTAATAATTATAATAATAAATAATATTAATAATAGTATTTTAGCGATGTTGGATTAATTACCTTAAAAAGTAATAAGTTACCTTATTCGTTACGCATTACTTAAATTTAATGAAAATTTTACGTTACTTACATATAATTGTAATAAAATAACTCGAGTTTTCAATGAAAAAATTAACTACATTACTTTTAAGTTACAAATGAAAATATTGAAAAAAATAAAAAAAATATTTACTCAAGATACTATAGAAAAAAAATACTACATACAATAAATACTAAAGTGTTTTTATAAATTTGATGAACTGATTTTGAATGTTGATAACGGTTTCGAGATTCCAACACATAAATTACAATAAATTATATAATTTTTTCTATTATCTGACTCGTATAAAATATTTAAAACTTATTATATTGAGGCCAAGGAAGGTTTAATTTACCTTCTTCAGGATCCTTTCAAAAATTTTAAAATTAAAGGGTAAAAATATAAAATTATTAATTACAATAAAACACAACGATTACAGATTTCGCCAATATGAAGAAATTAACTGTTAATTGTAACGATAACCAAATAGTCGTATATTTTATTTTATTTTTATATACTTTTTATTATTTATTACTTATGCAAATCCTTTAAAATTCGTTCATGATTTTATACAGTTTGAATATATTTTGACCAATTACTATTTATATATCAAAACGTTAGGGTACCTCTCGGAAAAATTGTTCAAATTTTATTGAAATTATATTTAATTATAATTATAATTATAATTAATTTAATCAACGGTAATACTTTTTTTTTTTTTTTTTTTTTTTTATTGTTACAGCATCAACATCATGGTTATTAGCTTACAAGATTATATAGTTATGTACATAAGGGGTTTTTTACAATGGTGTTTAAGGGGAAAAAGAGAAAATATAAAAATACATAGTACAAAATAAATTATATAAATTGGTTAAATTAAGTTGTACATTTCAATTTTTTTAACAAAAGAGATTATTTTTGGTATGTCTGCGTAAGGTCCTATAGATTCATAAAGATTGTCAGGTATTTTGCATTCTTTTCTGGCTTCCGTGAAGATTTGGCAGTGGATAATGATATGTTTGACTGTCATGGGAGAATTGCAAGAGCGGCATATAGGAGGTTCGGTCTTTTCCATTAGGTATCCATGAGTTACTCTCGTGTGGCCAATTCTAAGTCGGTTAATGATAACATTTTCTTTTCGATTTGGAAGATTGAGTTTTGGCCAAGGTTCGACTGGGTGTTTGATTTCTCTTAATTTGCTATCGGTAACTTGACGCCAATCTGAGTCCCATAATTGCATGCAGTATTTGTCGACGGTAATACTATTTCTAATGTTCGTATGTATACATTTATCGGTGTAATATTTTATCCATATATTTTTAAATATAACTTATTGTATCATTTATTGTATAGATTGTAAGTTTTCATAAACCTAAGTCATTTTTATAATAAAATATATATATATAATATGGAACCAATATATTTTTGTAGAAAAGTTTGTTGGATCGTAGATACCTATTTGTGACGCTTTATATCAGAGACAATACTTTTATAAAACAATTAAAATTACGTTTTCATTACAGAATACGAATCGTAATGAAATTTAATATAAATGTAATGCACAAAGCAATACATTAGTTTAAAGTTAATTATAAAATAATAATTCGAAATCAATTCATTAAGTAGTAACATTTTTTTATGCAAATGTTATGGTCCCATAAAAATATTGGTTACATATTATTGAGATTTTTGTTGAATTGAGGTTCAACTGTACTCATTGCTTTTACCATTTTTACCGAAAAACTACAGTCTGTTTGCTGTCATTTTTTTATCCTTTTTTTTTTTTTTTTTTGATTCATATCTTCTCGTTCGTCACTTATTACGCGCACTTGTACATTCATGCAACACTGCAGAATAGTCTTGTGTTTCTCTGAATTTTCTACTGCTAGAGGAAATGAAATATAATATAATATTTGTTTCTTCTCCCGAGCAAACACAACTCGAACGCAATTTTTTTATCGTACCCGCCATATAGTTATTGAACCTTCGTTTAGCGCCAAACAAATGGGTTTGGGAATATTCTAATGCGATATTTTTAGGCACAATCGAACATCGCCGTCCTACATTTATAACGACTGCGGTGGCCTACAGCGGAACGATGAGGCGCACGCGATACTCAGATTCACC